TCTTCACCTTTATCATTTCTATAATAGCTAATGCTTCCATGTATCTAAATGTCTTGTAATAATATATGGCTATGTACAATAAGTCGGATATACAACCAAACTTCGCTGCAAATTTCAGGATGTGACAGGAAATTTTGTCAGCTCTGTATTTAAGTTTGTTTTCTTGTGTAAAAGTAATCATATGTAACATAAAAGCAAGTTTCTGAAGGATATTGCCTGTTAATTTCTGTACAGTAATGACTTGATACTGTGTCAGGGGTGAATTTATCATCTCTTCTATTGCAAGTAGATACAACATGCAGCTTTGTAAATCTATGACAGTTAGTGAATAATTGTTGCTTATTTCATCAAATAACTTGACATCAAAATCAGTTTCACAAATCAGGGTATTTTCATCTGTACATATAATGAACTTTGGATTACGAAGAATATCTATACATGCGTTACATGACATAATGTAGAGAGTGTCTAGTAGCGATTTTATACCTTTGGTATAAAGCTCATACAGTTTTATAAATAACATATTTTGTGCTTCACCATATATATTGCTAATAAACATGTTGTTAGTTGGAATGAAAAAGTTGGGACACACCCCCTCATACACCCATTTAAGGATGAGTTTAAAACAGACCCATGAACACATCAGGAGATTTTGTGGACACCAGTGGGGTATCATATTTTGTTGAATCGCCCAGAAAACGGCAGTCTTTATGTGGTAGGAACACAGTAATTTTTCATCATCCCTTAATCCATTGTTAATTATTCTTCTTAAAAACAATTTAAGAAAACCGTAAGTTAGGAACTGACAGTGATTCATTATATACACAAGTTTTTGCTCTGCCAGAGAGAAAGATATTCTCCATTCATCATGTTCGTGTCTTCCTAGTTTATGTCCAATTGCTACAAGGTGACATCCACTTTTCACTATGTCATGAACAATATGGGACGGGGGCCACGTGTGACTTCTTTCTATCCAGGAGGAGGCAGATGGGGGCCAAAAATCAGAGGCGAAACAGTAGGCATAATCATATTCAAGTTTTCCATGAGTTCTACTGACGCAAGGTCCATGCATATATGGATTGGAGTTAAAAAGGGATGCAAAATACAGACATTGTCTGAATTCAGAACTGGATATATTCCTTCCTACACGATCTCTCATGATAGTTCCATTCAAGCTGGCAGACAAAATACATAGTAAAGTATATCCTGGTGGACTATCAGAACAGTCTGAGAGAATCAGTGTTTTTCTGTATCTGTTGTAATAGAAAGATTGAGATAACTCCCAGATCACCATCTCCTTTTTTGGCCACATCATAACGTCTATATCTGATCCTTCCAGTCGGAATCCTTCTTTGTGGCTTCCACTTCTCATCATCACAGTGTCATGACACGTTCTTATTTGATTTGTTATCACATCTTGAATATCCAGAATATCTCTCCTAGCTCCAATTTCTACGGATGTCCCCACTTCTTTACACAGTTTTCCGAACACATATTCTGACATGTGCTCCAAATCTATCCTACTTTAAAGGATAAAAAAGAGCTTTATCTTCTACATTTGACACTTACTTACCTACTAGAGATATATCATCAGCAATGCTTTTATTTTTTTATTTAGCTCTTTTAGTGTTATGTTGTTCACAAACCATTTTCATTTTCAAATTAAGACTGTTTTGAGCCACATACAATGTATATTGAAAGAAGATGTGAGCAAGCGCACAAACCTCACGCTCCCCCAAAACTCAAAGTGCCGAAAATCCCGAAAAAGAATAAAGGAATCGGAATTTCCTGATGCACATGTACATATTGTGTCCTAAATGTCGGCAAAATGTGACAGAATTCTGTGCAGTGGTTAATGAGAAGTTGCGCTGATAAATGATCATCTTAATATTCAAGATATGTCTACAATTCAAAGTTGAAAAGTGCCGAAATTCCCGGAAACAATAAAGGAATCGAAATATCCTGGTAATATGCACATCTACACATTGTGTTCTAAATATCTGCAAAGTTTGACCAAATTCTGTGCAGCGGTTTATGAGGAGTTGCGCTGACAAACTGTTCATCTCTGTATTCAAGATATAGCCAAAAATCAAAGTTGAAATGTGCCGAAATTTCCAGAAAAATAAAGGAATCGGAATTTCCTGGTAATATGCACATCTACACATTGTGTCCTAAATATGTGCAAAGTTTGACTAAATTATGTGCAGCGGTGCTGACAAACTGTTCATCTCTATATTCGAGACATGACCAAAAATTTAAGTTGAAAAGTGCCGAAATTCCCGAAAAAAATATAAGAAATCGCGATCGGAATTTCTTGGTAATATACACATCTACACTTGAATCCTACATATGTGCAAAGTTTGACCAAATTCTGTGCAGCGGTTTATGAGGGCCGGTTTTGCGCTGACAAAAAAATTAGGACTGACTGACTGACTGATACAATGACTGACTGACGGACAGTTCAAAAACATTATATACCTCCCGCAACATGATGCGTGGGGTATGATTATATAAAGTTATAATTTTCAAATAGAATGTTTGAAACAAAAATAAACGGCATTTTTCAGACTAATGTATATTTATCATTACAACTTACGTTTCAGAAGACCTCATGGAGTCCATTTTTTTCGATCAGATTTGAAAATTAAGGAATTACACATGATTTTATACAAACCTCTTTCAAAAACACAAAAGGTGATAGAACTTTTTCCTCAATTAGTAAAAAAAGTATTATTATAGTATTTTCTTCCTTATAAACAATAGGTGAGGACCTCAACAACAACAACAGCTGATTTATTCAAAATCCAACATTTTCTGATAAAACTAATTAAACAAAAATAATTAGAAAGTACTTGAAAAGAAAGGAAGTTTAGAGCGATACACGGTTATAGTTGTAGACTGACTATCTCATGATAAACATTCAATATGTAGTACAATGTAACTCATTTCTTCTATTCAATAACTTTGGGTAGGAAAAATTTCACTATTGACATGTATACACCCTTTTCTGTTAAAATAAAGGTACTGTGAGCAATGAGCTCACTAGATAATACCCCCCGCATGCCATATGAAAATAATGGCAGAGTCCATGTTTTGCAATGGAAAACTCAAAATATATGCCGAATCAAAAAGTAAAATAGGAGGTGCATATATATAATTGCATTATGTTATAAAGATTATCTGAAAGTCTCATCAAATTTCATTCAGTAGTTAAAGAGGAGTTGCGGATAAGAGATAGGTACCCCTAAGCCTAAAACAGACAGACGGACGGAAATCCCGATTACAATACACCCTCCCACTTTTCAAGAAGGGGGATAACAAGCCTACAATAAGAATGAAATTGTGTCATATAAAGGCGATTTCGTCTGTTATTAAAACTTTCGATTGCTTTGTATTAGAGAAGACCGAACAGTTTGAGCACACACGTATATATGAGGAGTCTCCATATTTTATGAACAGTAAAGGTCAAAGTCAAATTTAGAGGTCAAATGTAAAACATATGATGTTATATGTTAAATATAAAAGTGTTTTAATTTTTTTTTTAGTCTAAAATCAGTGGTTCAATTTCATTCATTTTGACACATTTCAATCTTTTTATTTCATTTCTATCATTCTATTGAATTTTTGTCAAGTTTTTTTAATCGGTGTATTTAAAGGAAAGGATAGCATATTTACATATGAATTTGTAATTCGCAAACTAAGTAAGTTAATTTTTACATCAAAATGCATTCAAATATACTGATTTCAATATCTTTTACTAATTTAATGTCTATATAAACAGCGTTTCACATTAATATTGTTTAATTCAGTTAATTCAAATTATATGTTATAAAAGTGTGATAAATAACTTGGAAGCTAGAGGTTCTGATAAAAGTTCAAAGAAATTCTCAAATTACAACTCAAATTCAATAGTTCATGTAATTTATCACCAAATATTTCCATTTCTAATTTTTTTTTCTCTCTGTGATAACTCTTTGAAAGTTAGCGGAGTTGATTTCTTGATAATTCTACCGGAAAGTAAATTAGGCAGCCCGACTGGTATGGAGCTAAGGAGACATCTGTCTCTGTGTCTGACGCTAAGGAGGCTAAATATGCATGTAAATCTCATGCGGCTGCCTTTGTGTTTGACGTCAGTGTGCGAGGACTATTGAAATTGGCATGGAAGTCCTCGTGTAATTTAAATCCATGTCTACATTTTTAAAGACTATAAATCTACCATTTTATTTCAAAATGAAATGGAAATATAAGGAACCACTGTTTAGTTAGCATAGTATGCCAGGGGCATCAACGATAGTGGGAAACATGAGATAATTTATGCATAAAGGGCTTAGACTGTTATGCATACATTATCCCATGTTTCCCCCTATCTTTGATGTCCCTGGCATACTATATATACCAACTTATAATGGACAGTAATTACCTATTAAAACGAACCTCATGTCTACGTGTAGACGGACATGAAATTAATATTATACAATTATAGCCCTTTGATGAGGTCAATCCCTACAGAGTGCAAGGTCGATATGTATGGTTTCTCTATGGTCTATATATATAGGAATTGTACCGAATTAAAGGGCTAAAATTGTTTTATTATTTTTTATCAGTAAATAAGAAATTTCTGGCAGCTGCAGTATCTGGTTATAGTAACAGACTATTTTGACGTCAACACTATTGTTGCTTCACAACAGAACTTTCCAATTTTAGGAACAGCATGTTTATAATTTTAAAAATAGAAACATCCAGTCTATCACACTTTTTTAATACTTGATCATGTGATCTAGTTAGAGCCAATCAGATAGCTGACAACAATCGAGAATTTTTTTTTAATAATTCTCCGGTCTGAATAATTTTTTTTGTATATCCGTAAATATTATGTAAGAAAATTGCTCAAATCATGTATAGCAAAGAAACTTAAAATGCCCAATGTTATTGACTGATAAATATGAAAAAAGAAGAGAATATAATAAAAACAATTATTACAGTACGTTATAATATTGCAAATTATCTAAATTGAGTCGAAAAATAAGAAGGATTTTAAAATTTTAAGCTTACTTTTATTGTTCTGACAATAAACATATAGTAGATACGGCGATCGGATAATATAGACCTCCGTGTGGAATATCTTTTATTCATGTTTTCCCTTCCGCGTAATTTGTAGAATTTTTTCTGTATAATTACGTAGATTTCTTCTATTTCCTGCTGACAGACTGGACATATACTCAACAGATTAGCACATTGATGACAAGCATACAAATGGCAGCATGGCATAAACAGAGCATTAATTTCACCATCTACGCATATTTTACACGGGTTTATTGTATTCTTTCGTCTCTGGTATTCTGAGTCTAAAAAGAAAAGTTGAATGAAATTAAAGTACGTACAGCACAGAAATCTGAGGGTATTGATATCATTTATTTTTCGTGTTCCCAAAACATTTACTTTGTATAAGGAAAATGTTGCATCTTTCTTCACCCATTTTAATTTATCCCAGTGAACGAAGTTATGATAATATAGATAATATACGTGGCGATTTAAAAAAAAATTCTTTGATACAACGGTGCTTTAAAAAGGTGTAGATCGGCAGAGTTTCTTTAGGATGTTCTTATATGTTAGTGTACCAAGTATGCGACCCGATCTAATTTACCTAGATTGCTTTTATGTTTATGTATATGGTTATATTAAAATATCTTATAATGGTTTCATACTTCCACTGAAAAGGGCGTACAATCCCCCTGTTATTGTGCCAATGACAGTTTTTGCAGCATTAGATAGTCCAACAGCTCCTACTCTCTGTAGTGTAGAGACCAGACCGCCCGCCGCTACTCCTCCGCCCCTAAAGATCGCTTCCCAAGACATCATACGGGCAGCCAGGGAGCCTCCAACAATCCCAGCGCTGGAGAACCCCATTGCCGATACAGCCAAGGGCACCGCTGCCACGGCAAAGCCACCCACTAATACACTAACTCCTGCCACTTTGACAAACCGCCAAAGTTTTTCTGCTGTAATGAGACAAACGGGATTAATTAACTGCATGTTTTAATGCCATAGTATTAATGCCCTAGCCATTATAATGTAGTTTTTTCCTTCACCGAAACATGCTAAAACTTCAGAAAAAGATTAAAGATCAAGGTCTGTTTCGTATATATAGGTTTCTACTTCTACCGGTGAGTGGCCTCCGTCAATTTCCTAACTATGATGCCATGCACCAGGTGTGCACATGTTTAAAAAAAATGAAAATGTAACAGTTGTGACAGTTTTTCTTACGCATGTTACAGGTGAGTTAAAAATGAATTATTTGGCTGGTGACTTATTGTCGGAGGCGAGCCGTGAAACAGTCAAGGCTCGGAGAAATCACGGTAGAGGTGGGAAGGGCATTCCACTCCAGGATGGTACGTGGATAGAATGACTCCTTCCTCACTGAAGTTCGGCATGATGGTAACTGAAATGCCAGAATATTGTTGTTTCTACCGTAGTTGTTTTGTCTTCAGTTCTAAGTTTTTGGCTGGTGTCAATCTTAACTTTGTTGTTAACAAGCTTGTAAGTGACACTTAGGCTGGATATCCTTCGTCTCTCTTCTAATGACGGCCATTCCAGCTGATTTAGCATCTCGGTTACAGAAGAGGCGTTGTGGCATATATTGTGGACATACTGAGCTGCTCTTTGCTGAATCATTTCGATTTTATTAATATTTGACTTTTGATCAGGATTCCAGGCGGCACTGGCATACTCAACAGTTGGTCTTACTAATGATTTGTATGCTTTCTCCTTGATGTTGTATTACTTATGTTGATTTTTCTTTTGAGAAAGCCAATAGTGCCGTTTGCTTTAGTGGTGATGTAAATTATTTGTATGTTGAGCCAACTTCAAATCTGACGAGATGGTTAACGCCTAGATAGGTTGTATAGGTCTGTAGGTATAGATTCAAAAATTGTTCCCTTGTGCGTCTTAGCTTTTCTGAGTCAAATGAGGAGAAAATGCATACTTATTTCCTTGTCCAAGATTTTTTTAAATTTATTTATTCCCTCTTTATGAGTTTCATAGGTACAGTCATAAAATTATTGAACATTTTTTCACGTGAGATTGAGGCACATAGCATCAGGGGGTCGGGGACAATTTTTTACTGGCATAACTTTTTACTAGAGTAAGTGATGCTTCACTGATTGATTGATTGTATATTGTTCAACATCCTTGTCGAGAATTTTTCACTCATATGGAGACGTCACCATTTGCCGGCGGAGAGCTGCAAATTTTTTTCCTATATACTCGGGACTTAGGATCATTTAGCAGGGAGGGATCTTTTTCGTGTAAACACCTACTGCGACACGGGATCTCGGTTTATACGGTCTCATCCAAAGGACCGGTCTCCACGTCCCACAGTGGGAATCGAATCCGCGACGTAAGGATCAACTCCTTACTTCGGGACTCTAAAGCAGACGCTCTACCACTGCGCCACGCGGGCGACAAATGTTGAAAGTGTTGAAAGTCTGCACACACACACACACCATTTTTGTTGTGGTAGGGAAGTATAACAGAAAAGTGGCGAAAAAATTGATTCGAAATATGTTAAAATCCAGCCTCCCAACCCCACCCGAGATAGGATTTTTGAGTTTGGACAAAGTTCTTTTTTTTGGGAGTTGAACTATGTTCAATCTCCCATGGTCATCACGTATTTAACATGCGCAGTAATTTGTGTTGGTTATATAGCTCGCCGAAAGCGAGGCTACTGTGTCGGCTGATTTACTCCGATGATATTCAACAGAAAACATGCATAAACATCCGCCACAAATAGTTCATGTCATCTTCTCCTGAATTGATCTAATTTTCATAATTTGAAATGTAAGTAAATTGTACTTATGTAATAATGAATATAATCTTATTTTGAATATTAGATTTCGTTCAAAGTAAAACTAAATTATAAAGAACCTCAAAAGTTTTTCGTAATGGAACTCATTTTTTGTGTGACGTCATACACTGAAAAAGATACGATCGACAACTCTACATACTAACGGCAAGCGGTAAATCTAGTCGCCCCAACGCCCGACGGTCCCGGATTTTTAGCAATTTTTTTTTACCGGTGCATAGAATTTATTCAAGCTTTTCATGAACGTTTTCTTGGTTTAAATGAATTCATTAATGCATAAAAACTTTAGGAAACATGCGTATTTATTACTAAATCAGCAGTATCATCTGCCAAAAGCGGTAAATCTAGTACTCTGTTATAAATGTTAAAACCAAAGAACGGACACTGATGTTTTCGTAAAATCATTTCCTAAAAACAACAAAATGAAGGGTTTTTTTTAATAAAAGGAAAACCTCATATACATACCAGATACATGTAACTCGTACGCATACAAACTCTCAAATATACCACTGTTTTTATGTTTGGTCATTAAATATTTGTTTTAAACTTCGTATTGCTTTTTTCTTCACAATATTTAAAAAAGATTAAGTTCTGACGTACTCCATGTATAATGTTCGTGTAATTGAAAAACATTTATATTCACAGAGAAGTTTTATATAACAAACCTGTTAGCTCTTAAAAGGATACTGTGTTAAAATCCACATTATATCATATACCTAGGAGTGTATCATACCTGATACAGGCGTTTTGGACTTGGCGAGACAGCGAATCGGAAGTAGGGCTGTCTCGCCCTCAGGGCTGAGATATTTCTGTCTCGGCCCGTCGTCAAGGGGCTGTCTCGCCCTCAAATTTCAAATCATTATTTCTGTTTAATTTGTGTGAATTAAGAGTAAAATTCATGTTTAAGTATTAAAGAGAAACATTATATATCGAAAAATTTAACCAGAATCTTTAAAAAATATTTTTGCATATTAGAATTTTGAGAAAATTGTTTTTGAAAAGTGCGCCAAATGATTGCATTTGTGACGTAGGAGAGGAAACTCTTGTTTACTTCTAGGACAGCAACAAGTCATGTTTTGAAACAATGGACGTTTATTTGCTTTGACAGTAAGACAATACCAAGTTTTCATTTAATGTGCCATTTTTAATTAAATATATATATTGTAAACAAAACAAATATTTACTATAAATCTCAGGTTTACAAATTGTAACGATTCGTTGACGAAGTTGTTCGATCCAAAGTGAAAGTAGAATATTTTTAAGTTTGGGACCTTTTAAATCTTTGTTATCTAATGTGCTTCGAAATGAAATGTTTCAAAACACCAGGACTATTCTTTTTAATGACCAGACCAGGCAAATCTATCTCTATTTGATTATTCACCGTCAAGCAACATCTCCAGGAACATCGAAATAAAGAAAGATAACTCTAATATTTTGTTATGACAAAATTATAGGCTAAATATCAAAATATTTGTTCTTTTCTTTGAATTTAAATATATGATATAAACAACATCACACACCACTGTTTTGATTTCGACCCTTGTATCAGCCCTCGGGTGGTCTCGGCCCGCGCCCTCCGGCCTTGGGCCGATACCAACCGCTCGGGCTGATACCAGGGCCGAGATCAAAACAGCAGTGTGATATTCTATATTTATCAACATTGATATTATTCCTGCGAAACTGAAATTTTCATAACACATGGGTAAAGGTGCCAAGGAAAATTATCTTACAAATTTGAAGATTGTGAGCAGTGAATTATATAAATGATCAACCGCCTCTAATATGAATATAATGGCAGTGTCCATGTTTTGCAATGGGAAACCCAAAATATGTGTAAGATGGAAAAGTAATAGAAGATGCACAACGGCAATATGTAATAAAGATTCTATAAAAATTTCGTTCAGTAGTGTAAGAGGAGTTGCGGATAAGAGATGGGTATGCCTAAAGCGTAACAAACAGATAGACGGAAATCCAGATTAATAAATACCCTCCCGCTTTTCATGCAGGGGGTATAAAAAAGGACTAGGCAGGCAACAATTTGGCCCCTGCATTTTTTTTTTTTTTTTGCTATTCAGTGTCTCTGAATGTCTTTCTCAAGATTTTTGCAACTCAAAAAATCTGAAACACTTGTCTGTATTTGAAATAATAATATTGTTCATTCATTTAACCTCCCGATCAAAGATTTTATTTAACACCATGTTCAACTCCCATGAGTGCTTTCAGTACTTTGATTTTTTTTTGCTCGTCTGATTTTTTCATGAAGTTAAGCTAAGTTAAAAATATTCTCTGGCTGCTCCATCTCCCTCCTTTCAAAAACAAGCGTTACGTTATTGAGATTCCCAAATAAACACGAATACATACCATTCCTGTTTCTATCAATTGTTTGTATCCTATGATCAAACTCCATTACTTTGTACTATAGTATAGTTCACAAATTCTGTAGCTCTCTATATATCCTTTTTGCTGCTGTATCAGTTTGAAAAACTGTGCGTTGAATCAATGATGTAACGTAAATTGTGACGTCACAAATATGATACGTCAAAATCTAGTAATTTATTTTAAGTGCTATATTCATTATGACGTCATAATTTGATAAACTTTTTTAAAAGCTGTGCACTACTCACAGTGCGTTAAATTGATAATTTCATTGTGACCACGTTGCATGGCAATGTAAGACGTATGTATATATACTCGTCAGCCCTCTATGTAGCGAAAGTAGCGAAATACCCTAAACTGGTCTGCGGCTTACATGTAATAGGAGGTTTAATTTAGGGGATAGTGGCGATGAACAAGAAATAATGGTGGACAATGCCTTTAAGGTACATTGATACTCTGATAAGAGAGATAACTCTTAATGACACAAATGTCTATTATTCTTTTATAA